TGGCTCATGGTGCACACGCGAGGGTTTTAGGGTTTTAGGGTTTAGGGTTTTAGGGTTTAGGGTTTAGGGTTTTAGGGTTTAGGGTTTTAGGCTTCTTGGGTTGAGGGTTCTTGGGTTGAGGTATTGCGGTGAAGGGGTTAAGGTTTCACGGTTTGAGGGCTTAGGGATAAGATGGCGAACATTCTTGCCGTCGCCCTGCGCAGCTCCTGACAGTTGAAGAAAGGAGTTTCGCAAACTTACCCGGGCACCCTCAATAAGTAGCCCCATATGAGCTATAGTCTAAACTCCTAGTATCCCCCTTATAACCCCTATAGTAGTCCCCTGTATAATCCCTTATATAGTCCCCTCAAGGAGTTTAGATTCTGGCTCATATAATCCCCTAAACGCCCCCTGTTTTCAGAGAGCCCCCCCCCCACATTATGGGCCATCCTTGGCAAGGCAGCGAAATCCGAGGCCGTGACCTTCTTGAAGTGCGTGGAGGGGAAGCGCTTCAAGACCTGCGCGCGCTCCTGGCCAGACCCCCTCCAGGATCCAAACAATGGAGCCTGAAAATTAGGGTCGGGCTAAGGGTTTGGGGTTTAGACCCCTGAGGCTCACAATGAAGGTGTGGGAAAACGGAACTTCCCCATAATCACCCATGTAGCAATGGGGTCGTCTTGCCGGGTTCTATTTTCAGATCCTTTACCGGGTCTGAGTGACAAAAAGGTAGGGAGCAGCTGCATAGCGGCTCTCACATACACACTTGGCGCAGCAATATGAAGAAGAGCAACACTTCAGTGTGACCACATTTCAGCAGCAAGCACAGACTCAGCTCACAAGAAAGATAGTGACATGCATGCAGGCATGCCTGCATCATGCATGCACTCCAAGAAGCGTGGATCTAAAGCTGTCTCTCAAAGGACCCTGTATTCACACCCCCATAGAAAGGTGCTCACTCAGATTTGACAGGTTGCCCTCTGTGCGGTCCTCCTTGATGAGGTTCGACTTGACCTGGCAAGGACAACAACATCAGCAGACAGTTGGACCGTGGTTTGAGGATACTTCTTGAATTGCAGGCTAGCAGCCTATCTCACGCCTTACAGTAATGGCTCACAAGGGCTGACAGTTCCTTAGGGACCACAGGAATATACAGGGATTATAAGGGCACTGCGAGGGTTCTTCTTAGGGATTATGTGGGTGATTCCTTTCAGAAAACAGCACATAACGGTCCTCCTATATACACCAGTGTCGTATAGCCATCAGCAAGAAAACAGCAAAAGCAAACACTGAATGTTTACACACTCCCGTGGAAACTGTCTGTCTTCTGGGCTTGCTGCAGAGTAGCCACACTTCAGAGCATCGTATGCGCTTGAGGAGTGGCACGATGCTACCAGACTATCGATCGCTCACGCAAACTCTTCAACCAGCTGCAAAGGACGGCCCTTCTGAAACCTGCGCGACAGAGAATCACGCATTAGTGCCCAGTTTAGCAATCTAAAAACTACTTGTGTAGTTTACCTATTATAATGCTACGAGACGGCCGACAGCTTCTGGTCATATCAAACTCACTTTCTAAACTTATATAGACGTGCTAGCCCAGTCAGCAGTTCACGCAAATCGCCTCCATCACAACGTAGTTGCGAGGCTGCATGGGCGCAAGCATGGACACTGCCTGTAGGAAGAGGTTACTGGGCAAATGGTACCAGCATGGTATGACGCAGCTGTGACATACAATCAGATATGAGGATGCACGTTAGCACTTACAATATGAAACATAAGAGCAACAAGCACAGAGGAATTCCAGACTGGTTTTTGCTGACAACCACGAAAAAAGGAACGGAAACAGCACTTGTTGCCTAAACTTACTAGCAGCAAGACTCCGGAAAGCGCTACTCCTGACAATCCAACTACTGTCAAGTAACAGAGCATCATGAGCGCCATGACCTTCAACCGTGCTGAACTGTGCTTGAAATGTGCTCGGTACTCCCTTGTACAGCTTCCCCACTCTGCTTTGCGGAACTTCCAGGCGGCCTTCTGCGTGCTGGTGTCATCCAGGCTGGGCAGGCCGTACATGTAGTACGGCTTGTCGTTGGAGGCCTGGTAGGGAGACAACAAACTAAAATCCTTTTCCTTAATCAGGATAATTTTCAGTATCCTGGTTTGGGGTGCTTGCAGAACAAGCTTGGAAGCTGCTCCAATCCCGTTGTGGCAGTTTGAGTTGACACCTTGACAGACGTAGAAATGAACCGTCACGTTGTTTAAAGAAATCTAATCAGCGTCGCCATGCAGTAACAGCCCATACCTGCTGGCTATCATTAGCGCGTGCCAACGCTGTAAGTAATAGCATTATTTCTGTGGTTCATGCTCTTGATACTTTGTAATGCAGACGGAAGAAGTCTTGAACCACCCACCACCTCCTCTCCCCATGACCTGAAAATGACGATCTTGGAGCTGCAAGGCGATGCAAGATTTCTTCCAGCCAACCCTCAACCCAACCCTTCTAAGCCTGAACGCGAAACCCCACGCCTACACTCTTATGAGCTCTTCAGCCTACATCCTAAACACCTTCCTGACACCCTGTGAAACCCTGAAACCCTAAACCCAAAACCCTCAACCCTAAATAACTCCTATAAACCTATAGTAGTTTCCATTTTCTTTTCCGTTATAACCCTAAACCACTGAGTCCCAGCCTGTGCTCCTGGCTTGGGGCGAGGGAGTCCAGAGCTCACGGCCCACTCCTGGATCCTCCTGGCAGTCTACAAAACAACACTAGGGTTTACGGTTTTAGGGGTTTAGGACTTTAGGTTTTTAGGGTTTTAGGGTTTTAGGGTTCTAGGGTTTACGCTTTAGGGTTTTAGTGTTGTAGGATTTTAGGACTTTAGGGTTCTAGGGTTTAGGCTTTTACGGTTTTAGGGTTTTAGGGTTTAGGGGATCCCTTGGAACCTAGGGCAGGGTTTTGTATTTGGGATTATTACAAGGAAGTTGGTCCCCACAAGGGGCTGTAGAAGGAATACGCCCCTAAAACATGAACCCATGGCAAGAAGATGACGACTCTCCCAATCATTGTTAGCTCGCTATCACAACTATTACTTCTGCTGTTGGCGGAAGGGCACTTTCTTACAAAAGTTGCTGTTGCAGGTATTGTCAGTGCGACAGTTCTCACTGTTGCTTTTGCGAAGCCTTGCCTTGTCCTTGAAAAGCACGAAGGTTCAGCTGTAGGGCTAAGGATCTGCACACATAGTTGAGGATACATACTCCCTGTAGGGGACGAACCATTCAAAGGCTACGGGCTTCCAGGGTAGTGTTGAACCGCTGTGTGCCTGCAGTGGTACGTCTATGATTGTTCGAGGATCCCTCTGCTCCACCCTGTAGCCCCTGCATTCTTAACAGCACGGGAAATCACCGTCCTGTCGCTCAGCTCCGTGTAAGTGGGCTTCTCCTCCAGGAAGCTGTCCAGCCAGTCAAAGGTTCCTGCAATCACCAGAGTGAGAGAACCCCAATGTTTCACAGAGTGACCTGTAAGGGAGCTCATTCACTGCTGTGCTTGAAACAGATTGTTGAACTCGAAGCTTCCAGCAATCAGTAGCTTGCACAACTTCGAGACGGGCTTTCAACAGCCTTGGCAAAGTCCAATCATTCACAGACACTGCGGCAACTCAGCGACGACGTGCACAGAAGTGAGGCAGGTGAAGAACAAGCTCTCATAGCTAGCGCATAAGACTTCGCCATTTGCTAGCCTATAGTCCCCCTTAAGTAGATAGAATATGGGGTATATATGGGGATCTTATTGTAATATACCCAAAGCCATATCCTATCTACTTAAGGGGAACTATAGCCCAATAAAGACCAGGTTTTAGTTAGCAGGGCAAGTTGAAACTCAGGCCGCCTTCGTCCGGGAAAGCAACCGGCATGATCACTTCGCACTTGCCGTCCTGAAAAAAAGTACTAACAAACCATGAGAGCACTTTACTGGGTTGCTATTAAGAAACGTAAACAAAGTTACCATGATGGGTGAAAAATAATGAGAGTTCCCCAATGTAGTAACGTAAAATAACTTCCTTAACAGCAACCCAGTTTAAGGCTTGAAGCTCTCGGCTCACGAAGCTTTGCCATACAGAAAGGTCAGGCATGCCTTGGGCGGAGTCTCGACCTTCACGTCGGCGGTCCTTAGAACCAGTATTTGGATTGCTGGTTCTACGTAATCCTGCTATGAATAACCAACATCATCACACGGATAGCCAAGAAGCAAGTACAACATCAAAATAACACAGCTGTCATTGTGTGTTCTTGTGACACACACTCAATGAAGAGACGGTAAAGGGCGTAGAACTGGCAAAGGAAAAAATGATGGATCCCCACCATTGCGTGCACCAATTTCAAAATCCTACTCAAAAGTTTAAAGTCGGGATGGAATCATGCTGCTGTGAGAATGTAACGGACCGCAGCAGTAGCAGAATCACATTTATTAAAGGGGTAGACGTGACGGAAGCGAAAGATCCAGTTAAAAACGTGATGTTTCTTTCCTTTCGGCTCCGTAACCAACACCAATTCAAGATAACAGGGCTTTATTCCTGAACATGTGGGCTCCCAATATGAAATTGTCTAACAATTGCGCTTTTGGGCACTGGTTTCAATTTGGGCCTAAGAATTCGGGTACCAAAACGAGAAAAAAAAACACACACAAAATCAAGGCAAATAGTTTTCGGGTTCTGGTTATATGGGGCCTGGATGATTGATTTGTTTGTTGTAATTTTATGTTGTTTTTCACAACCCTCGCAGAGGGGTGGTGATGTTAAAATCTGTGTTGTCCTCGCCCTCCTCGTGGAGCTTGAATGCTATGCTTAATGGCAACATATCCTTGTAGTGCCCAACCGCTGTGTAATTATCCCTGCAGTGCCCAACCGCACAGTATCACTGCAATGCCCAACCACCAAATATCCCTGCAGTGACCAGCCGCTGAGTAATTATCCCTGCAGTGCCCAACCGCAGAGTATCATTGCAATGCCCAACCACCAAATATCCCGGCAGTGACCAGCCGCTGAGTAATTATCCCTGCAGTGCCCAACCGCAGAATATCACTGCAATGCCCAACCACCAAATATCCCTGCAGTGACCAGCAGCTGAGTAATCATCCCTGAAATGCCCACCCACAAAGGATCCCTGCAATGCCTAACCACCAAGTATCCCTGCAGCGCCCAACCACAGAGTATCCTTGCAGTGCCCAACTGCGGGGTATCCCAGCAGTGCCCAACCGGTGAGTATCCCTGCAGTGCCCAACCAAGTATCCCTGCAGTGCCCAATAACAGCACAGTTTCCCTGCATTGACCAACAGCTACCGCAGAGCATTCTTGCAGCGCCAACAGCAGAGTATCCCTGCAGTGACCAACCCCACAGTATCCCTGCAGTGCCCATGGCAACGTCAGTATCTCTGCAGTGCTCAATGGCAAGGTGTCCTTGTCGTGCCCAGCCATTGCCCATGCCGAACCCCGCAGCATTTGCCCCTGCAGTGTCAAACTGCAATATTCTTGCAGTGTATTTGCAGCGCTGCAAGGAAGACAGTTTTGTTTTTTTTGGGGGGGGAGGTGGGCATTGCAATTCTTTTGCAATAACGGCTTTAGGGTGGGGATGCTCGAAATAAATATGTGGTTGTTTTTGCTTTGTCCCTTCCTGTAAAGATCCTAAGAACGAACTTCCTAGTATACACAGGACAACTTGGCCAGGTAGGTTGTAGCGCTGTGGGTTTGCTGGAACATTCTGAGGCTATCGGGGTTATATAGGATTATATTGGGGTTATATAATTTGAATTGAACGCAGCTCGAGCGTGCTCTGAGCTAGGCGGGCACTTCTGACCCATCACTCCTATGTTGTGAAACTGAGCTCAAAGTGCAAAGAACCTACGCAACAAGTGAGGGGAAAAGCTGCCCCGTCGCTCCAAGAGTCGCAAGCACATGAGGTCCTATTGAGCCTCCACTCTCCTCTCAACTTGTATCTGCAAGCTACAGCAAGATTCCATCAGATTCAGACTCAGGGCCTGTCATGTCGCATCGGAATAGACATGTGGCTTGGTGGGCTGTCACGCGCATGCAGAACGGGCGCTGGCACAAGCTTGCGTGGACATGATGCAAAATTTTGATCGCTAGCAAGAGTTGCTCTGCGCGTGGCCTGGCACTCTAAGGTCGGCAAGTGAAGGGCAGCAAGTAGGATCTATGACATTGGTAAAGTTTTAAATCAACCTCAGCTAAAGCTTCAATCAAGAAAGTGATCCTGAGCCGCCAGAAAAGACTGAGGTTCGTTCAAATTAAATCAAGAAAGCGCCTGCAGAGGCACAGCTAGACTGAAGCTAATGGTGTCCTGCCTTGAATTGAATAAATCGCGGCAGGCAATGCCTAGACCAATCATTTCAACAATGCCGCTATTCCGGCGCAAATGGCTCCCCGCTCACTTGGCATCAACCTCACCTCTGTGGCGAGGACTGCCACCACTGGCGGTTGTTCTGCCTGCCAGTCCTGGTCTTCCCAGCCAATGTCTCGCTGCCACGAGGAACTCCAGTTGTCCCATGAATCCCAGTCATCTGTGGCCCATTCTTCCGGACGGGCGGAACTGGATTGGGCTGATTTGCCCCTGGCCCCGCGACCTTGTCCTTTGTCTTTTGGCCATTTCCGGGATAGCTTTGGCTGCTTCTGGGTTCCTGCGTAGGTAGTCAGCAGAGTCCCCGACATTGTGCTTGGCATCAACCTGCTTCTTATCATGCGAGATGATCAGCCTGGTTTGCAGGCCAGCTTGACGAGCCGTGCGATCATAGACGGCCTTGATAGAAGAAATGATCAGGCTGAAGTAGCCGGGGATCTTGATAATATCTGCCGGCGGAGGGCTCGACCATGAATTGCGGAATAGGCTAGCCAGCCCCCCGTAAGGCCGCCCCTTTGGGCAGGGTCTGGTAGGACAAATCCATTTTCACCAGTGACCAATTTGGCCGACATTGCTGTCGGCCAGTCGATCTTCGAGCCCTTGGTGGCAGTGGACTCGATGCTGGAGAAAAGTTTGGGAGGCTCGCCATGCGTTTCTTCCAAAGTCGATTCAGCTCTTCGAGTTCCAGCCCGCCCAGCAACATTTGATCCGTGAGGATTTGCATACGGCAAAGGGTCCGGATCCACTCCTGCAAGTGGTTAGATTGCAGGGCCTCAACCAAATTCGCTTCAACATGAAGGGGTTTGTTGGCTGGGGGGTTCTTTTGCAGATCCATGAGTGGCTGGTCAGGGGCTGGAGGCTGATAGTGGCTAGGCGGAGTTCAGGGAGGCAGCTGGTGGGATCGGCAGCATGATAGTATCCAGAGTTGGTGGGGGCGGCTTGAGATTTGAGGTTGGAATAGGGGTGGCTGGCGCAGGCTCCAGGCGGAGCTTTTGGGCGCTTGGTCACGGCCTGTTGCCCTAGAGTTCCACTCATCTATATCCACCCGACTCGTGACTCGTGTGGAATGGTAGCCTTTGCCGCTGCAGCAGGGCGTGGTATCGAAGATCCGCTGGTGACTGCTGAGGTTTTCTTGCTCAACGTCCCTGTGGAGGGGTCACAAGATTTATGAATCACAGTGCACGTGTCTGACGGTTGATAGTTTCGGGGTGAATCTTGGCCGCGTGCAATTTGAGCCCGTGCACATTAGAGAAAGTTTTGGAGCAATGGGGGCAAGCACAGAAATTAATTTCATTCTCTGGCACGGCAGGGGAGGAGGAGGCGGCGGAGAAAGATGAGGACACGCATGAAGAGTGTACAAGCGCTTGCGGAGTGCGAGAAATATCCAGGGAGGAGCGCGAACGTAGCATCAGCTTTTTTTGCCTATTCGATTGAAGTCTCCCCGGTTTAGTTACAGGATCTTCAATAGAGAACTGAGAGAAAACGTCCTGGGCGGGGATCTTAGATACGTGGGCTGGACACTCCAAGACTGAGCGAAGCTTGAAGGCGTACCAGGAGCGAAGGGACTTCGCAGATTCAGTTGTCACTCCGACTTCCGACAGTCCGAAGGCTAGCGTGGACCATATAGTGGTCATCCATACCCTTAATCTAGGAGGGCGTGTTGCGCTGGGGCCTGGGTTTTTGCATAGAGGTTATTTTGGGGGTTAAGGATAAGTGTTCTCCTAGGCATCATGATTTTGAAGCCTGATTTTCAATTTTGCAATCAAGTAAAGAGGAAGCTTATACAAGAATCTGGGCATCCTCGAATTGTGCT